GATGATGATCCTGAAGGTCGACTAAAAGGATGGTTCCTAAAAGGGGTTGATGATGCAAACCCATCTTCCAAATCTGGTGTACTGTACGGTAAACTCATGTTGATTTTGATTGATTTTCCTAGTCTTCCTTAATTGATGCTCCTTCAATACCTAAACAAACGGTTGCTCTGAAAAAGAAACAAATAATACTATGGTCTCTGGTCTCTTCACCAGGGCAAGCTTATGGTTTTCTTAAAATAAATAATTCAGTTAAGCACTGGGTACTTCTTCTTCTAACAGGATCTACTTATCCAAATCCTTTGGTGGTCTTCCTTCTTTTGGTCAATAAGCAGCTGCTTCCTTCAAATAGTTCCGGAGTTCTCTTCAAACAGTATCCTAGTTATCCAGATCCTTTGGTGGTCTTCCTTCTGCTGTTCAATAAATGGCTGCCTTCTTCAAGATACTCGTCTCAGTCAATGGGTTCACTTTCTTTTCAGAGGTTTGTTGTTTGTGTCATTGGATTGTTTATTGAAGTTTGACTAGTTGATCAACAGAATAACTGAATATGCCGCTGAGTATTCGCAAAATTGTTTGATGAATTCGTTCCGTTTACCACTAAAGTAACGATCCTCTGTCGATGTCTTCTTGATTATCTTCTTGTTTTTGATTAAAATTGGTCACACAATGTCAATCGGAAGTTTATCCTATCACGTTGGGGACTCCCTTGTAAGACTCAAATGTGGTTATGAAACCCTTTTGCTGAATGGAGAAGGGTATGTTGGAGTTGCAAGCTCTGCCCTTCTATGCTATCAGAACAACAAGACCACCAAGCTTAGCTTGGCAGTTATATTTATTGTGATAGAGGATAGTTCAAGATGAAGCTTCCGATTGATGTGTATAAGGGTATAAGGGTCTGAAGTTATAAATGAGTGATGATTATATTGATGAAGCTGTTGTTCAAAGCTTTAAAAACAAGGCGCGGAGCTCTGGGAGCGCTATGCTTCAACCAGTAATGGTATGTGAGGCAGGTTCTGGGCACTTGGCACTTGTTATGATGATGAAAGTGTTATCTTGGTATTTCAATATAATGTGTTGTTATGGATGTCACTTGTATATAATCTGTAAGGGTGGTTGAAATGATCTGGTCCTCTGGTGAGATGATGGAGGGAACAACTGGCAGGCAGAGGCCTCCTTATATAGACAAATGTGAGGGATTTTAGCCCCAGGGTACAGGCTTTTGAGGCATTTTAGCTGGCCTGAAGATCCAATGAGGGGTTTTAGCTAGTCTAGTACATGCAGGTGAGGGAATTTGGCTGGTGAGAGCACTGCCTTGAGGGAATTTAGCTAGCCTACAAGGTCCTACTACAAAGGAATGCATGTGCACTTACAAAGGAATTCAATATGCACTATGTGCCAGTAAAGGAATTCAATACAACACAAAGGAATTCAATATTCACTATGCATCCAGTATTCAAAACAAGCTATACTGAGAGTAAAGAATCCAAAAGATATCCCGTGACAGGTTGAAATCTGTGTAACTTCTAAACTATGAGAGATATGGGGTCAGTTGTAGTGAGTGACTAGGGGTTATTTTACCTGAGGATTCCATTTCTGATGTTATTTTTACCATATATATAAGATATAAAGAAATAATAATAAATTTTTATATTTTCTGCGTAGAAACACAGTATTATTTACCACAGCAATGGAGGGATCGCAGGGCCAGAGGATTTGATGTTGAGAGACACCCTGTCTGAGGAGGATTTGGAGGTTAGAGACACTGCTCGAGGTAGAGTGTCTGGGGGTTTTGTGAGAGCGGAGGGGGAGTTGTAGCAAAAGGCTAGTTGGGTGGGTGAATAGTCACGACTAATGACTACATGTCTTTTGGTGGAATCAAATAAGACAAAACGACACTGCTCGAGGTAGAGTGTCTGGGGTTTTGTGAGAGCGGAGGGGAGTTGTAGCAAAAAGCCAGTTGGGTGGGTGAATAGTCACGACTAATGACTACATGTCTTTTGGTGGAATCAAATAAGACAAAACAAAACCAAACAAAACAAAACAAAACAAAACAAAACAAAACAAAACAAAACAAAACAAAACAAAACAAAACAAAACAAAACAAAAGAAAACAAAACAAAACAAAACAAAACAAAACAAAACAAAACAAATCAAATCAAATCAAATCAAATCAAAACAAAATAAAATAAAATAAAATAATCAAGAGTGAAATAAACCAACATCCTGAGATGTCTTAGGACCAAGAAAATTAAACAAGACTGTCTGCTGAGTAGGTGATTTGAAAAAGATAATAAAGAATGATAAAATGATAAAATGATAAAATAATAATAAAATCAAGATGAATGAAAAATAATATAAAGATAAAATAATCAGAGGAAATGAAATAATAAAAGGGAAAAAAAACATAGTAAAATAATATAGTGAAGGAAACGGTTGGACTGAGTGGGGATTTGAGGTGATAATATTGAAATATTGAGGCTTGAGGATATTGATAAGTTGAAAATTGAAATTTGAAATTCGACCTTGAGGGGGCCTGTACCGTTTAGAACACCACAACGGGTTTGGGGAATTGACCCCCAAATTTTGGGGAAACCCGGGTTTGGGAGTCGACTCTCCAATATTTGGGAGTTGGTTGATAAACTCCCTATAAAAAATCCGAAAAAATATAAAAAATCTGGAAAAGTCTAAAAAAATTTAGAAAACTCTAAAAATCTGGAAAAATCTTTATTTTTTTTACAGGATTTCCCTAAAATTTACAAGATTTCCCATCTGGGAAATCATGTCAGGGATGATTTGTGTACAGTCTCCATGAACCCAGGGAATCCATCCTGGTTAGTGGGACTTGGAGGGAGGTGGGTCTCAATGACTGGAAGGGATCCCTTCCCAACTGGAAGGGATCCCTTCCCAACTGGAAGGGATCCCTTCCCAACTGGAAGGGATCCCTTCCCAACTGGAAGGAATCCCTTCCAGTTGATGAGGTTGTTACCCAAATCCCCTCAAGCATGAGGGGTGGTTTGGGGAGCCGACTCCCAACAAATTGAAAAAAATATATTAAAAAATAAAAAATCAATGGATGGCCGACTCCCAAAGTCGGCCATCCATTTGGAGGAACGACTCCCAAGGGACTTCCGACGACCGTATTTGAGAGTTGTCGACAAATCCTTGGGATTTGTTTTTGCAAGGCCCAAAAGAAAAGCTGGGCAGAATCTTGCCCAAATTCAAGTAATACTCTGGGACAAGAAATCAATGCAGAATTGGCTCTGGGTTGAGGAAGTTGACTGGAGCTTACAAGACTTGAAACATCACCTGCTACCCTTCGCGGGTTTAATATTATTTTTGGAGGTGATTTTGCTCAGACTTTCCCAGTTGTTAAGAGGGCAAACATGTTTTTACAAGGTAAACTCTCCATGTTAAATTTGTACCTCTGGCCCACAATTACTCAGTTTCAGTTGCATAAGAACATTTGTTCGCTTCTTGACATTGGCCAGGGAAATGGTCAAGTTGACTTGGTTCAAGACATTTGACTTGAATTTGGACTAATCTTAGTTGAAAAAGCTGTAAGAAACCTAGCAATATCTTTAATCAGATTTCTTACCAAGCCCTTATCTGAAGCAACATTTCTCAATCTGGATGTATGGCTGATTGATAAAGAACAAGGGCTATAATTACTCCCCTGAATAAATATGTCAAAGAATTAAATGAGCAACGCATGAAATTGATGCCAGGCCAGTCATTTTTCTCCACCTCAATTGATCAGATGACCAACATTACAGATAACGTGGCTCCTGTAGAAGTCCAATAATGTATACATACCACACTTCCCAGACCCCAGCATTGGCCTCAAAATTGGAATGCCTATCATGATTTTGTGAAACCTATGCTTACAAGACGGCTTGGCAAATGGTACAAAAATGATTTTCATAGATATGCAGCCTGAAATCATCCAAGCCAAAATCCTGACCGGACCCCACACTGGGATTGAATTGGCCCTTCTTGAGTAACACCTTTAGATATTTTACCCATTGGACTGCTCTCAAGTGATAATGCAGCCAGAACATGATGAAAATTGTAAATAAACCACTTTTAGATAAGCATCTATCCCCAATAAAAGGTACAGTTTAGGAACTGATCCTTAACTCATCTACTACATTGGAACATTTGTCTCTATGCCAGAAATTAATCCATAAAACGTGGTGCCAGCCACGCTTTTCCCTAGTTAATTAAAAAACCGTGTCCAAACGCAGAATCCGCATGTGCTGTGCCGCAGCAAAACCACATGTAAACACCGAAAAACTGAGTTTTTTTATTAAGGCCCTTTATTAATCCCCTTTTTTTTTGAGATTTTTTTAATTTTTTTTTTGACTTTGTTTTTTTATGTTTTTAAAATAGGATGATAGTCAAAAAAAAGGGCAAGTACTGCCAGTACCCACCAAAATTACAGACAGTACCCGTCAGGCGGTGCCACGTGCAGTACATGGTACCTATTTTCTTAAAAAATTGAACAAGTACCCGAGTACAAACAAACAATCTCTAGTTTCAGTGTTGTTGGTATCTTAATTTCTAATTATCCTCAATACAAGTCCAAATGGTCTCTATTTCTACGTAGTTGGTTTGCTTGCGCAGTCAAGCTTTTCTTTGTGCTATGATTACTAATCAAGCTTTGAGCTAGTCAATGTTTGCTTTAAAATTAACACAGAATAATATCCAAAAATAAATTAATAAAAAATAGGAATAAAAGGAGAAACAAAAAACACAGAAGGGTGCCTTTCACCCGAAAGATTTGATAAGTATTTACAAAAAGATTTATGTTTCTTCTGAAAAAAAAGAGCAAGAAAAAAGAAATAATGAAATAAAGGATGATTTTTTGGATATGAATTGTATAAGAATGAGAAATATTATGTTTGAGAAAAAAAGGGGGATATAAGATAGGCAGGCTTAGCCATCAGGCTAATGTAAGCCCTCTTCTAATGAGTAACAGAAAGAAGATGGAAAAAAGTGAATTCCTAAGGACCATTATGCCTTCCGGATGTCATCTTTCCTTTGTTTGAACGTGAATCGTTTCCTCTATGTAGAGTGCCAGCGAAGAAGAGAGTTGAGAAGATAGTCAAGATGACGGCGGCGAGCATGAGCCACAAGGCACTCCCGTATTCGACGCCGACCATACCGAAGATCCCGCCCTGAGAATTACGTACGAGCCAATAGGCTCTGACGAAGATAGTGAAATCGATGATCAGACAGACAATCCCGATGATCGTGTTCAGCGTCATCAGTGCGAATACGATTGCTGGCTTCTTCAAGAAGATCGAGACGAGGAAAGCGACCAGACAGGCTGCACTGAACGCAGTGAAGATCGGGTTGATCACCAGCGCGGTAGTGGTGGCTCGACTCAGGAAATCCAGTCCTACCGGACCGCCCACCAATAGCGCCGGAAGTCGATATCCAAGGTGATATTGCGTACATGTGTCTAAATCGGTCAAAAGTATTATATAAGAAGTTAGTCATTCTGCTACATGGCCGTGGACGCTCGATATCATCGAGGCTGGAGTAAATTTACTGACCATTGATACAGTATCCCAGTAGTCCAATCCTGACGGTTATGCGGTCGAAGACGGCGACACTTTGTGGAATTAAATTGAGGACATCTCGAGTCAGCGCAGCGGACATGGTAGTCCTCATAAAATAGATCTCATCCGACGTTGGAACGCTACAATTCGATGCGATCCTAGAAGAAGTAGATGATAAAAAATTATGTTAGAACGGGTGAACCATATATAGCGTCATATTTTGGAGAGAGGATTTGCATGCTCACATGAGAATGGTTGATGTTAGTAAGAATAGGAAACTCAAGGTACCGAAGAAAACTGTTACTGCCTGCATTTTGACTGAATGTGAATTGTGAAGAAGAGTTACAACTTGGACAGAGTGATGAAGGAGGTGTGAGGATTTGAAGGTTAAATAAGATGATGATAATAAGAATCAGCGCAAGCACCTCACTCTTCGTTACGGATTACTGGAAGATTAGGGGAAGAAAGTTTTGAATTAGAAGGGTTGAAGAAAAAGAAAAAAAAAAAAAACTACGGAAGATGGGGATAATTAACGACTTGGGAAAGCTACAAAGCCTTGAAGGTTTTGTGGTGTAACCATTCCTTGAACTTGCGCCAAGTGATGGAAGAGAAATCGTGGCAGTCATAGTAAAAATCCAACCTGTAACTAACATAAACTTGTGACGAGCAAGGCCATGGCTACAACAGTTAGCAATGGGATAACACCTGGCAGGCGAAAACCATCACCGCGCCGTTGCACACCGAACATGATCTGAGTGGTACATAGTGCACACGAGTTGCCGAGCCGTCATCTACATCAGCCGTGGCAGATAAAAGAGACAAGACGGACGCGTCACACTGATGTCATTCAGAATGACCACGTTTACTGTGGACACTTTCAACGATCTGTGGTTATTGTGTATATATCCATTCCCGTCATCTGTTAACGAAGACAAAGGCCCCTGTTTGCTCTAGTTCGGCCTCGCACATTTGAGGTGAGTTTAACATAAAAGCAGATCATCAACCGAGTACCGGGCTGAACTCCATTCTACAACAACCCTAAGAGCACCATTGTTTCACCGATGCTGGTATTTATTTTTAGGAGATTTTCATTGGTCAATTGCGGACAGAACTCGACTCAAATCGGATGTTAATCCAAAATAATCCTCGTTCCAGAGGGCCGGGGGGACCCCGGCGTGCCGCCTGCTTCCGTGGGTCGCTGTGAGACTGGCGAGAAGATATGGAACAAAAGCTGGTCCGGTAGCCCCAAGGTCATACCAACAATCGAAGAGGTTCCCTATTATCTGATTTCGGCTGGTAGCAACCACCATTCATTAGTTTCTTGGGATTAGTTTCTTGGGGTTTCGACTGAGGTTTCCGAACACTGCTCGAGAAATCGACTTCGATTGCCCAGAAATGAAAAAACCATTTCTCCATTTGTGAATTGGTTTCCCCTTCACTGCTCTGATATGTAAGCCGAGAACTATGACAACGAAGTCCTTACAGTGAGCACCAATGCGTATGTTTCAACCCGCTTGACTTGGCCTACCTGGAAGACTATTTAGCTGCCTGGCCTGTCTAGTCTAGCCAGCACGAAGCCCTCCCTTATTCCTCACCTCGCTTTAGCCTTCAGCCTTTATCTCACCATCGCCATAATAAGTAAAAACAGGAAAAAATACCAGGTTATCACCATACTTAGTTATAACAAGAGCAAAAACTCAAATGGCAGTCTATAAATTATTGTCCACTTTGATCGGCTTGCTGGCCCATGTCTCAATATCGCGTGGCCAGGCGCCTGCTGCTCCTCCCCACACATGCAATGGTGGTCCCAAGTTGCAAACTTCGCAATGCCAAACGTAAGCTGATTCTGGAGGCAGATTTTCCTCTTGCTGTTATGCTCAAGTTTTCCATCAATCTCCCAATATCAGCTTACCCACAAGGGTCTCCTTTGATTTTGAATATTTGTTGAAACAGGGTAATTGGCAATCTCAAATATGCACCAGACAACACAGTTTTATCTGGTGAAACATTGATTTCTGTCAGCTCAGGACAATGCCTTGTATGTTTATGCGTCTTCTTTCAATTATTTACATACATATAATTTCTAGTAGGAAAAATACATTGCAATCAGAACTGATCATTTTTCTTTTCCCATCAGGTTGAAATTGTTTCTAATGGAGGAGGGTGAGAACATCTCACTTGGAAAACATTAAAATTATACAATATTGATGTACAATTTCAATTTCCCACAACTAGTGCTACAACCAAGAATGACATAGGAATTGCTATTCTTCGACTTTTTCAGCTGTGTCCTGCTTCTTTTGTATGTTCCTTTTTAGTTGATCTGGTTGATTATTCTAGGCATGAATCTGAAAATATTGGAGATTTGATATTTTTATAGTCTGGGCGCATCACCATGCCAAACTTTGAATTGAGAGTTAAAAATGGAGATGCTGATCCATATTATCAATTTGGCAGTAAACAGCCAGTTGGATTTATTCGTTGCAATATACCACAGGACGGTCAACCTAAACCAATCCAAGGATCAGATTGTCAAGGGTTTGTTGCTCCTTATTTCAACAGAAAGAGTATTTTACCAATGGGTGGTCTCAATCTGATCATTTGGTTCCTCAAACAATTAGGGCCTTGAAGAATAGTGACAGAAGTATGCGTGGATTGATTATGGGTGCAAGCAAATCATGTGCTGTAAGCTAATATTGATAAATATCAATTTGGAAATCAAGAAAAACTTACATCAATCTCAAATGGGATATAAAACGAATGTCTGGTCATATAAATAGATATCGGCTCTAGCATCTAACTCTTTAGGTCTTACTATGTTAGTATTCCATGAATAGGTTGGGAAAAATTAGAAACTCAGTCTGATAAAACTGAATTTTTCATTCCTGGGATTTCTGCATAACAGAAGTGATGGGATTATACTTTCAACAGTTGGGAAAATAACAGGGAAATGTGGAAAACAGGTAATTAAAACTTCATTTAATCTAAATATATAAATTGGAATTGAAATTTGATAATTCTCATAGAGCGGTAGGATGGTGGTGCCTCTAGGAGCTTTTGGACTAAATTCAAAGGTATCTATTACAGTGCTTTCCAATGTCAAAGGACCTATCAATGACTAGAAATTTCATTGAAAAAAAGAAGGATTTTAATCTATCTACATTCAATGACTCTTGAATTGAATATTGCAAATTTACCTTTTCTACTGGCAAAATTTTCCTTTGAATTGAAAAAATTCTATAGATGTAATTTACAAGTAAGGACACAAAAAATAATATAATAAGTGACATTTGGATTCCTATATACAAAAATTCTCATATAATTCCTCCTTTGTTCCAAACATGGTTAATTATCATGGATTATATAATTTTTTTCTTCCTTTCCCAACTGATATATTGTTTGGGGCTTGGTTAATCCACTCCCTTAGATTGGAGTTCCAACTCCCAAATTTCAAGTCAAAAGGACTGTTTGCGGATGTTCCTCAGGACCTCCAAACCTCTATTGTTTTCCCCCCAACTTTTTGGGAGTCAGATCTCCAAAATCTTGAACAGGTTAAAGAAAACCCCCAGGATTTTTGAGAGTTGTTTCTCCAAGACCCCAAGGGGTTGGTGAGTTTGTATCAAGCTTAAAAGTGTTCCTGAGAACCTTTTGCTGAGTGTGGAAAGGGATGTGTGATGTAGCCTCTGCCTTTCCTGTCTACTACACTAAACAAGACTTTCATTAGTGATAGTGGGGTGGATGAAAAGATACACTATTGTTTAACAGGTGTAAAAGGTGAGGAATGTTTTTTTATGTATAAATTGAGGATGTTGTAATATTATGTGTAAGGGTTGTTATATTTTAAAACCAAAAAATTGGGGAAAAAATAGTATTGTGGAGTGAGCAGTGATTGTGAGGTGACAGAGGTGCAGACAAGTCCCTGTTGTCCATGGCCATATGGGGATAAAGCTGGCCCTGACTGGCACGTTGAGCACCGACTGACTCCGTCCGTGTGTGCGTTCCAACCCCCCAAAGGTCTTTTGGCAGAGCGGTTTAAGTAACACAATCCATTTTGACTAGTCCACACTTCCCCCACCCCTCTGAAGACCTATCTAGCTATTAATATCTACGAGCCACTGCATCAGTTCCAGTGTAACTTGAGGAGTAGCGGAGTAGCTTAATCCTGTATTAGTGCTACTCCGGGTTGTCAACCGCATTGGTGTGGTGTAAAACTGGGAGTAGCCGGAGGTCACATACGTGTTTGAGTATGCAAGTGGCTTGTGATCCCAGGATTAGTGAGCAGTAACTTGACTCCTGCTTATCTCTAATCCTACTCCAGGATTAATTTAGTCCAACCAAATTGGACCCGGTCCAGTTGAGGGCTTCGATTAGCTCGGACTAGTTACACTAATCCAACCTTAAACCACCTGCCAATGTGGTTGCTCTAAGCAGTTCAAGTAATGCAAGTTATTACTCTGACCTGAACTTCCCCACACAAACCAATTGAATCACCTCACAACTACCTCTTACAGATATATGCCTGAAACTATTATCTCATGTGTTCTACTGTCAGCGGTGGGCCGCTACGCTACACTACGCTACGGATTTGGATTTAAAAATGAAAAAAATTGTTTTTTTTTTCTTTGCCCCAAAAATAAATGGCAATTTGGGTGGGGGAAAATGGATCAATTTTCTGGAATTTTTTTCCAAAATGCCTCAGGAGTAGAAATTAGGCTAAACTGAGCTATTTTAGCCCAAAGATAGAAATTCATCAAACATTCCAAAATGAATTTTTAGCTCATTTGAGACATTTTTATTTTTTGGCTAAAATAGCTCATTTTAGCCTAATTTTTTACTCCTGAGACATCTTGTAAAAAAGTGCCAGAAAATTGATCTATTTTCCACCATCCAAATTGCCATTTTTCCTTGGGGCAAAATCAGTATTGTTTGTAGTGTGTAGCGTTAGCGTAGCGGCGCCAACCATTGCTTTTTTTGGTGTAGTGTTAGCGCGCCGCTACGGCCGCTGCGCTACGCTAATTTGTAGTGATGCTAACACTTACCAATTTTTGGTGTAGTGTTAGCACGCCTCTGGCGCCGCTACGCTGCGTTACGCTACGCTAC